ATTATGGTACATTGACAAAAACATATACTTTTATTCACAGGATAAAACAGTTTTTTGTATCACTAATTGCCCAGTACGATTACAGCATACAATATTATTGTCACTGCTACATTTCTGTGATGCTACCAGAAATTATTTCCAGTACTAATTAATTACCATTGAGCTCAAAGGTCCTATTAATAAACGGTTAACGAATGTGTATTTATGAAGACGATTTGTGAGACTGGTAAACTTATGATACGTACGATGGTCTTTACTTTCTACACGGTGCATTTCAAGGTCCTGCACCCATCCGTCGGTAAACTGTACCTGGGCTTGTTGCAGTGACCTGAAGTTACTAAACTTTCATGAGTGTATGCACTCACTCCAAGAACCGTATAATTATAAATATGCATATAAATATGCTACAATGAGATAGCTGACTTCATCTAACTAGCAAATGTTGTCCAGGCTACGTTGGTGATGCAGTTTTTTTAATGTGTATGATATTCTTGTCATGCGATTTTAAAGCCGGTCCTACAACCGCATCCAAGAATAACATGCGGCTTATCTCAGAACTGTCGGTGAAAATTATTCTAGGAGCTAAGTTTGATTGAGCTGCATTTTATAGAGGTGCAATTTCACAATTTGTGTATATTTTCTATGTTCACTATTTTGTCATGTGTTGAGAAAAACACCGATTTAAAAATTACATGGTCTAATATTTACATTTAGCATATAACTGCAACATGCTTTTTTCGGTTTTTTTTTTTAAAGACTCGAAAGGACTTGAAATTCAAAATTTCAGACTTGTGACTTTACTCGGACTTTTACACCAGTGACTTGAGACTCGGCTCTGACTTGCCTGACATTACTTGAGACTTGACTTGTGACTTGAGGATAAAGACTTGAGACTTACTTGAGACTTGCAAAACAATGACTTGGTCCCACCTCTGAACGTTGCACTGAAAATCTCCTTGTGATTGCTTTGATTGATAGCAGGCTTCCACAAATACCAGTCATTTTCATGGAAGCAGCAGTGAAACTGTGAAAAAGGGGATTAGTGTTGGGGTTGTTATTCAAAGAATAATGTATTACACATTAGTCATTATCCTAAGTCTTGCTGCTGGGCTGGTCTCGGCATTGACTTAGTTTTATCATCACTTTGGATCCTTGGGTTACTTTGTGTTAGCATGCTAGTGTCCTATAGAGTCCTTTTGTGCAATAAAAATAAAAGTACTTTCTATACCATTTTCCTCCTGTAACACTTGGTTGTCCATTGGTTGCGGCAGCAGGATACAATTTTTATTTTGAAAAGTTGTATCCTACTGCTTTCTCTGTGTCCACTTTGGATTGGAATTTCTTGGACATTTCTTATTACAGCTCAGAGAGTAAGTAGCGAGTTTCTGCAGACAAGTTGGCATCTTTTGTGCAAACTACCGGTGGCAACCTGCTTGTGAATAAAAGCATCACAAGGCCAGCAGCAACAAGTACCATCTAGCAGCCAACAGTTAATCTATGCTTTCACTTCAGTTAGTTACTAAATATCAAGAACTTTGAAAGTTTCTTCAAGTGCAACATAGAAAAAAAACCATCAAACAGAAAAATAAAGGTTCTCGTTAGGGTCTCACATAATAATAAAGCAAGACTTCTCTCAGTTCAGAGGATAAATTCATCAAGTTACTGGCCCGAGAAAAAGCCAATTAATGGTACACAACATTAACATTTCCGAGTTCAAGCAGCAGACACAACTGAGCATCACCAGCTCTGAGATACATACAATCAAAGAAACCATTACTGAGGGAGACCAAGAAGGAGGATCAAACTGCTTTGTTAAACACACACACACACACACACACACACACACACACACACAGATCCCAACAGTGTGTGAATGGATAAGATAAGATAAGATAAGATAAGATAACCTTTATTAGTCCCACACGTGGGAAATTTGTTTTGTCACAGCAGGAAGTGGACAGTGCAAAAGTTATGATGCAAAAATTAGAATACAATAAGAATAAATACAGTACACAGCTGTACAGAATAGAATAAAATAATATACTATATACAGTAGAATAAAATAGAATAAAAATATACAATAAGATAAAAATAGAATACGAATGCTATATACAACTGAGTAAAAATACAACGATGCCAGAAAAGATTATTGCACTTAGTGTTATTGCACATGTGTGGATGTGTGTGTTTGTTCAGTTAAAGTCTTTGTTGTGGAGTCTGACAGCAGTGGGGAGGAAAGACCTGCGAAATCTCTCCGTCCCACACCGTGGGTGCTGCAGTCTCCCACTGAAGGAGCTGCTCAGTGCTGTCACAGTCTGCTGCATGGGGTGGGAGACGTTGTCCAACAGGGATGACAGCTTAGCCGCCATTCTCCTGTCACTCACCACCTCCACTGGGTCCAGAGGGCATCCTAGAACAGAGCTGGCCCTTCGGATCACCCTGTTCAGTCTCTTCCTGTCCCCAGCAGAGATGCTGCCGCCCCAGCAGACCACATGTTGTTTGCTTTACAGCATTTACACTCACATCTGCTTTATAAATAGTGGAACAATTATTTGCTTCGCAGAAGGAACAAGACTTACAGCAAAACAAAGGCTCTGTGAGGGCTACTGGCCTGAAACACACCTTTTTTGGGTTGGGGTATAGCATGAAGGCAAATCCACTTCCTCCTGGGTTGTTGGAAAAACTCCAGGTGATGAGCTCATGAAGGTCCTGTAGAGAATAAACATGAATGAATGAGTTAAATGGTGGAGTACACCTTCGACTGGTCACCTGGCAAGAAACTTTTTATATATTTTTTAAATTTCTAAAGCATTCAAAGTGATAGAGGGAAGTAACCATAAAAGTGTCTAGGTAAGAAAAAAAAAGTTGTCAAAGAAGACTCAAAGAAGGCAAATCTACATATAAAATACGATTTTATTAAGAAAATGTAACTTTACAGGCAGCTATGCAGCTAAATATATAAAAACCCACAAGACAAATTATTTTTAAAGGTCCCAGCTGTTGGAAAAAAAGAGAATTGCTGAAGATCACAAAGAAAATGCTTTATTCAAAGAAGCAGAACGCAACCTCTCACTATTAGCTTAGGATTGAAACTGACCCAATGAAGTTTGCTGCTTCCTTTCCCCAATATAAAAGGAATTTTAAAAAGCAGCTGAAATAGAAAAATACATATAAAAACAAATGTACAGTTAAATGTGACATTTTTTTCTTTGAATTTCCATTTTCCTAGATTTTTTAAAATTTATTTACTTATCAGTTTAATTTCCCATCCACTTCATTCATTTTTGATTCATACAGTAGTCCCATGTCATTCACTAACTTCTGTATTTTGTTTATATTAAAACTAGAGATGGACCGATCTGATATTACGTATTGGTATCAGTCCAATACTGACCTAAATTACTGGATCGGATATCAGAGAGAAATCGGAGAGAAATCAAAAATGTAATCCGATCCATTAAATATCACGTAACTCAGCTCATAACCTTAGCACGTCGAGCAGTATGCGTGACGTGATAGAGTGGCTGTGGCGTGCGAGACCTCTCGGTGGTCTGGTTGAGTGTTTGGAGCCTCGCTACCAAACCAGCATTTCATCTCCAAGAAAGTTATCCCAGAGAGAAGTAAAGCAAGTGTGTAAATTCATCTCTGAATGTTTGTACAGCATTCCCATATTAAGCCCTGCCTCTTCTGCAGGGGCGGGTGTAGCAAAATTTAGCCAGGGGGGCCGATAGGGCATTAACAGGAAAAGGGGGGCACAAAAACATACTTTTCTTTCTTATTCTCAGTTAAAATGTCTAGCTTTTAATAAATAACTATCTGAATCTTACACCCAAAGTTTTAATCTGATGTAAAATGTATAAAATCCATTACTGTATATAGTAACTATTAAGTCTAATATACCCTAGGAAGCTACTTTTTTCCTTTGGGAAGGTTCCATCTGTGCAGTCTGCAAATTTGTTGAAGAAAGATGTTAAGCATCATGAGGTGGAGGGTGGGGGTGCTTCCCTTTTTTTTTTTTTTTTTTTTTGCTGGGAGTTGGCAACCCTATTACCGTAGTTAGGTTGCTTAATATTTCCGCTAAGTGCTCTTTAAAATACCAGAATAAGGAGGATGGAGTAGGTTTAAGTTTATTAGATTGATCAGTTTTGCTGAACTATGAAATATTTTGGGTGCAGTGTATTTTTTGCATACAGGTTTAACAGAATAGCTTTATTTATTTATTTTTTTAAAACTTCAGTATGAACTTATACAAAACACAGCAAGATATTAAAACAGTTTTGTTGATTAAAAAATACACTATATCGGATTCATATCGGTATCAGCAGATATCCAAATTTATGATATCGGTATCGGTATTGGACATACAAAAGTGGTATCGTGCCATCTCTAATTCAAACACAGATTGACAAGTTTGCAATACTATTTATAAATAAAAAGCAGTTATTCAGTCATTGACATAATATGCAGAGAGGCATATGGTTTACAGCTTTAAATGATAGTGTTTGTTATAGTTTCACATTATTGTGTTTAGTTGTTTCAAAGTAATAAAGTGTTATAGCTAATTCACAGAAAACAAGTTTTTGAAATATCTTCTTGTGTTTTCCAGATGAAACGTGCATCTGTCTTTCAGCTGGCTTAAGTGTACATGGAAACGTACATCCACTGAAAATAAGACAAATTATTTATTAACATTTAAGTATCACTTAAACTGATGCGTTTTCTTTGTATAAATATTTATATTTATTTATTCGTTTGCTCTGTCAGCACTAAAGTGACTTTATTACCTCTGACTCCTTGAGATTAATGGATTTTCCATCAGACAACTGTTTGAAGATTTCTGTTGAAGAACACAACTTTGAGTTTAAACTGTACAAATCATGAACCTTAATCAAATCTTAGAAGCGAGAAAGATGTTTTCAACTGAAAAAACTTTTCATTCTCACTGCATGAGATTTATTTTCAGCTATCTACACATCTACTGTTGTTATTTCTTCTCGGCTTCACTTACTCTTCATGCAGTCCAAGCGAATCATGAGATTGATGAAGCACTCCAGTGCCGTGTGTCCAGAGGAGGCGCCATAGCGCAGAGCCATCAGACTGAGCATGTCATCTGAAACCTTCATTCCTGAAGAACACACACAGTCAGACTTGAGGAGGAGTTTGCTTATCTATCCATCTATCTAATTGCATTATTAAGCTGGTATGAAATCCCATGCCATTTGTGAGGATGACAGACAGTAGTCACAATATTCAGCCATGTGCAAAGTCATAAGGATGACCTGACATCAAGAGTAAGTAAGTAGGATGTGGGCCAACAGCTGGACTCGGGATCATCTAATCTTGCCATCAGGCTTTAAATATGTTTGGAAAACAATCTCATCCAGCTCCAAAGGAGCTATTCAGGGCTTTGGTTGTTTCATGGGATGGGTAGTGTACAGGGAGGGAGGTTCTCTGGTTGAACCTGTCCTGTCTGGCTGATGCAAATAAAGCAGAAGTCACAGATAAAGGTATATTTTGCCTAACCAGATAATAAGGATAAGGGGGGCAGGTATTTGCAGATATTAGAAACCCTCATTTCCCCTCATCCAAATGCACCAGGAAGTGGTTTGTGTGCTTGTAACTTTATGATGATAATTTTTATCCAAACATTAACATGTTTACTGTGACATTTACAATATCATCTATATAATGAATATATATTAATTATACAATACTATACTATAATGCTTGTATTTTTTCTAATGATAATTTATGCAGTTAATTGAGCTTGACAGACTTTTTAAAGGCCAAACCTTTCAGGATGTTTTCATTTAGAAGCCTCTGGAGCTGCTCAGCATCCACTTCTTCATACTGAAACATTAATTGATTTGGTTTACTACATGATACATTACACAGACGTTAGACACATAATGCTATATAAACTTGTAATATTGCAGTAATGCGGCTAATATTATTAGCAAAAAGATCTTTTTTAATTACCTTGTCAGAGTATTGACGGAAGAATGTTTTCTTGTTTTCTTCATCCTGATGGTTTTTTACTTTTGTGACCTGACGAGTCAACAGTTCACATTAATAACACATGAACAGCAAAATAACACGGACACAATTAAATGATTTGTTACAAACCTTTTCAACTGGCTCATATCTTTGCTCATTTGAATTTGAATTCTCACTGTGGGGAGACCAATATGCATTACTTTCATAGAAATCAACTGTAATGTGTCAAATGCAAATTTTGTTTCAAAACTTTTTTTTATGTCATATCTTCAGACATCGAGGGTGAGCATACTAGCAACACGTCTCTTCTCTTGAGTGGATGGTGAGGATGAAGGAGGCTGTCTCGTTGGATTTGAAGGTGGATGGCACAATCAGGTATTCACCAGGCTTCAGCATAAGGAACTCTATCACCTCACGAGCATTCATGTATTTATCACTCCGAGCAACAGGCAGATGGGTGTTGAAGAACATTGCTGGAAACTTCCCACTTTGCGTTTTGTACTGAAATTATTCAAAGTGATATTTCAGCTCCCCAATTTCATTTGAAGAAGTTTCTGAAGTGCGTACAGACATGTCAACTTGAAGGTTTTATGTATCAGCACATAAATTAGCTGTAAAATGAGATAAATACAATCACAAATGAACACCAACAGTTGGCATACAACAAATTGAAACACTGTGGCGGGACCTCGAGAGAGTTGAGCATAAACAAATGCAGACAAACCTCAATGAATTGCAGCAACAATGTTCTTTCACGTTATTGCTGCTAAAGCTGGTTCTACAGCTTATTGAACCATGGGGTGTACTTAGTTTTTCCACACACCTCTTATTTGGCTTGGCCTTTGTTACATAAATAATTACACAGTGTGTTATATCATGCATTGTTTTTTAATTTAAACAATCTTACAACATAGCAGTGTTTCCTGATACATAAAACCTTAATAGTGAAAGACAGTGTACTTTCTTTTTCACATCACCATACAGTGGCTTGCAACAGTATTCGGCCCCCTTGAACTTTCCCACATTTTGTCACATTACAGCCACAAACATGAATCAATTTTATTGGAATTCCACGTGAAAGACCAATTCAAAGTGGTGTACACGTGAGAAGTGGAACGAAAATCATACATGATTCCAAACATTTTCTACAAATAAATAACTGCAAAGTGAGGTGTGCGTAATTATTCAGCCCCCTAAGTTAATACTTTGTAGAACCACCTTTTGCTGCAATTACAGCTGCCAGTGTTTTAGGGTCTGTCTCTAACAGCTTCGCACATCTAGAGACTGAAATCTAAGGAGCTTGGAAAGAAAACCGTCTGGACTTCTTTAAGTTGCTTAAAGACGTTTCACCTCTCATCCAAGAAGCTTCTTCAGTTCTAAGGTCAAATGGTGGAGAGTCCCAGATTTAAACCCAGTGGGAGTATCCCCCCAATAGAGGGAGCCAACGGAGCCTTGGCTCATGTGATTAGGTAGAGGATCATCAGGGGGACCTTTTGTCCCTCTTTTGGGGGGATACTCCTACTGGGTTTAAATCTGGGACTCTCCACCATTTGACCTTAGAACTGAAGAAGCTTCTTGGATGAGAGGTGAAACGTCTTCAAGCAACTTAAAGAAGCCCAGACGCTTTTCTTTCCAAGCTCCTTAGATTACGATGATCTGGATGACTGAGAACCTTCACAGACATCTACAGACTGAAATCCTTGCCCATTCTTCTTTGCAAAACAGCTCCAGCTCAGTCAGATTAGATGGACAGCGTTTGTGAACAGCAGTTTTCAGATCTTGCCACAGATTCTGGATTGGATTTAGATCTGGACTTTGACTGGGCCATTCTAACACATGGATATGTTTTGTTTTAAACCAGTCCATTGTTGCCCTGGCTTTATGTTTAGGGTCGTTGTCCTGCTGGAAGGTGAACCTCCGCCCCAGTCTCAAGTCTTATGCAGACTCCAAGAGGTTTTCTTCCAAGATTGCCCTGTATTTGGCTCCATCCATCTTCCCATCAACTCTGACCAGCTTCCCTGTCCCTGCTGAAGAGAAGCACCCCCAGAGCATGATGCTGCCACCACCATATTTGACAGTGGGGATGGTGTGTTCAGAGTGATGTGCAGTGTTAGTTTTCCGCCACACACAGCGTTTTGCATTTTGGCCAAAAAGTTCCATTTTGGTCTCATCTGACCAGAGCAGCTTCTTCCACATGTTTGCTGTGTCCCCCACGTGGCTTGTGGCAAACTGCAAACAAGTCTTCTTATGGTTTCTGTTAACAATGGCTTTCTTCTTGCCACTCTTTATGCAAAGACCAACTTTGTGCAGTGCACGACTAATAGTTTTCCTATGGACAGATTCCCCCACCTGAGCTGTAGATCTCTGCAGCTCGTCCAGAGTCACCATGGGCCTCTTGGCTGCATTTCTGATCAGCGCTCTCCTTGTTCGGCCTGTGAGTTTAGGTGGACGGCCTTGTCTTGGTAGGTTTACAGTTGTGCCATACTCCTTCCATTTCTGAATGATTGCTTGAACAGTGCTCCGTGTGATGTTCAAGGCTTGGGAAATCTTTTTGTAGCCTAAGCCTGCTTTAAATTTCTCAATAACTTCATCCCTGACCTGTCTGGTGTGTTCTTTGGACTTCATGGTGTTGTTGCTCCCAATATTCTCTTAGACAACCTCTGAGGCCGTCACAGAGCAGCTGTATTTGTACTGACATTAGATTACACACAGGTGCACTCTGTTTAGTCATTAGCACTCATCAGGCAATGTCTATGGGCAACTGACTGCACTCAGACCAAAGGGGGCTGAATAATTACGCACACCCCACTTTGCAGTTATTTATTTGTAAAAAATGTTTGGAATCATGTATGATTTTCGTTCCCCTTCTCACGTGTACACCACTTTGTGTTGGTCTTTCACGTGGAATTCTAATTAAATTGATTCATGTTTGTGGCTGTAATGTGACAAAATGTGGGAAAGTTCAAGGGTGCTGAATACTTTTGCTAGCCACTGTATGTGTATTATAAACATGAAATAGAATAAATTAGCTTCTTACGTCTTTGGTCACCTTGAAGGACGTCAGGAATTTCATTCATGTTGGGAATAAATAATAATTCAGTTAGTCATTAGTTAGTTATTTCAACATGTGCACAGCCACTGTATGAATGTTTGGACAGCATATTAAAGCTTGGCTTGCTAACAAAATGTTTTCTAGCCCACAAATAATTTTTATGTTGTAGTTAATTTTTGATCTGTCATTTTCTGCATTTAAATGCCACATTATTATTGTTGTTTCCACATTACGATACAAATTCTGACAATGGTTAAATACATTTTCATGCTCTGAAAATGTCAACTTCAACATGGTTTTTATTTTCACCATAGTTAGTTTATGTTCTCTTTTGCATGCATTTTCTTTCCATATGTATGATAGATAGAGACAGAGAAATACTTACTAAATATACAGAAAAACCAATGTGGAGGTTCTGCACCAGGCGTCTGTTCCTCTTGTCAGGCTTTTGCATGAGAGACACTAGGATGTTTTTCTCCCCATTGGTCTCTGAGTTTTCACCTACGACCTTAATTCGATACTGTGGATTTGTCCAGAAAGTGTCTGGAGGACATAGAGGGAAAAATATGTTTTATTTACATGAATTGAAGATTAAAACATTATGTTTTTGCTGTATGTGGCGCTGGCCCTTTCCCTCATTCCCCTTATTTGACAGAGCTCAGTGACAATCAGTTTCTGCATGTTTCTGTAAAATCTTATTTTCTTGCAAATGTTTTTCTGTATTATAGCAAAACATTAATATTGTTTTAATGTACAACAGAACATTTAAACACCTATATTCCAGTATATGCTATATAATTACCTCTGTTATTTATGCAGCCTCCAGCAGTAGTTCCAGCAACCCACCGACCCTCGTACACAGAGGTCTTCCACTGAGCAGAGGATTTTCCATCTATGAAGTCTGGTTTCAGGCCACAGATGTCAAGATCTGTGTAGAACTTACAGAGATCTTCAAATGCCATCCTGTTAATAAAATCAGGTACATTCTCATTCCTAATTTATTTAGATGTGATGTCAAAGTATAAAACTCTAAGCTTATAACATAGTACAGTGTAAATAAAGCAAAAAAAGAGAAAACTACAACTTCTGGTGGTATTAATATAATACCGCCAGAGGTTGTAGTTTTCTTTTGACGAAATTTGCTTACCAAAACTCTCCATCATCAGCCACTGAAAGGCACTTTTGGCGGTCTTGAGAACTCAGTGGGACCTTAAAGACAGTATTTTAGGTAAGAGATGACACATTATGTTGTTAATTTTTATCTAGAGTTGCATGTATTGAAGAAAAAATATTCCCTAAGTAAATATAGGCAGTGTTTGGTAAGTTACTTTAAATTAGTAACTTAGTTACATTAATAGTTACTTCTATCAAAAGTAACTCTGTTACTTCAAGTTACTCGTTACTTTCAAAGTAACTAGTTACTAGGGAAAGTAACTTTGGTTTTACTCAGAATTTTCTTGTTAATGTGTTGCTTCCATAACTTTGCCAGTCTTCTAGCTTGCTTACTTTCCACAAGTGCACTGTGCTACCTTCCAACAGAAAGGAAAAATAATGTGCATATTTCCACGAGAGAAATCCAACGCCTGGGCCGTCGTTGAGCACCCCCATGATTCTAGCCTACGTCACAGCGTCATGTGCGCTTCTTACATCCAACACAAAAACTGCAGTCGTGGTGCTTTGATTGTACTCAGAACTCGGAAATTCTGCCTCCTGAATAGGAAGATGTAGGTAACACCAGACTGCAGATGAGCTGCATACAGGGCTGGACTGGGACAAAAAATCAGCCCAGGCATTTTGACTAGAGAGCGGCCGCCATTATAGGAAAAATCATAAAGCCTTTGAATGAAAACAAACGCTGTTGTGACAGTGATGTACACTGTTTTGATGGTATATATGTATCAATCTATCAATTGTTTGTTGTAAGATTGAGATAATTATTCATTAAAAGCTAGATATTTTAAATGAGAATAAGAAAGAAAAGTATTTCTTTGTGCCCCCCTCTCCCTGTTAATGCCCTACATGGCCCCCCCGGCAAAACTTAGCTAGACCCGCCCCTGCAGTTGCCAGCCGTCAGCTACGTAAAAAAGGATCCTGGGGTTATTTGTCTCTCAGAAACAGTTCATAACTTCCCTTCAACTCATTCATGTCACCTAAAAGGTAAACCTGTTTCTCCATCACCTGTTCAGCTCTGATGATTCAGTAAAGACATCTCCTGGTTTCATCTTCATGTTTCCCTCTCACCACATACCCAAACCGATATCATGACCAGCAGCTTTTACAGCTGTGGCTCCAGCAAACATCAGCTGATACTAGAAAGCATCTAAGTATTCTAACAACAGCTGATCAAGCTTAAACGTGCTGCTGTTGTTTAGCGCGACATCCGCTGGTTTCCTCTTTCGGCGCAAAGTGAGCGATAAACAAACGAGAGAGAAAATCCGATCAGCTGATCATTGATCAGTTTCATGATTGAAGTAGCAACAGGAGAGGGAGGGGTGAGAATGAGAGAAGAAGAGGCAGCTGTGCAGCAAAGACACAGAATAACTCCAGCTTTGTGTCTTTTTCATTCTAGCTGAAGTCCGGGACAAACTGTGTCCCTTTTCACCTCGATACGAAACGCTTGATATTTTCTCTGAATACAAGACAATTCCGTTTTTCATGGGACGGTTGGCAACACTAATAATTAACCTTATGAACAAAATAAAGTTCAACATCAGTAACATCATAGCACCCACCCAGCTGTATAGAAACTCTGTCATGCTAGCTAGTACCCAGAATGAAAAAGTCGCATAACGAAAATAAACTACCCCTAAACTTGGTTTATATCTCACCCAGAGAGACTGCAGGTCATAACTTCTTACCTGAAGTTCAGTTCACCTGACACTCCGACCGTCGGCCGCCTCTGGTCTCTGCTTCACCTGCTTCCCCTTTCCCCCATCCACCTGCTGGCCTCCTCCACTTGCTAATGTTACTGAATCTGTGGAAGCTCCACGATAGCCACCGCAAGAAGTAACGAATAACGACCCTATCTAAATCCCAGTAACGATTGAATCCTGATTTTGGCATAATAACTAGTTACCGTGCTCGTTACCACAATAATAACGTAGTTACTGTAACGCGTTAGTCCCAACACTCAATATAGGTTAAAAGGTTGTACTTTCACCTGCATTTTAAACTAAATATTACACCGGTTTGTTTAAGCAGTAACTGGAAAAAACAGTTCAGACTAAATTTCCCTTAAAGACCAGAACTACTTGAGTAACTGAGTCACTTTTAGAGCAGCAAGTACACAATGCAGATGTCAACATTTTTACAACATGTAATTTTATCCATCATGTCTTCATGAAACAGTACCAAAGCTGATTACTGCTTACCAATCACTCCAGTCTCCTTCCCACTCTCCTTTGCCCCAGGGGTTCCACAAACGGATCAGCTTCACAACTTTTCCTTGGCTAATAAGCTGGCAGCAGGCAACAGAAAAATCAGTTGTTATGGTATTTAAATGTATGCTCAAAGGTTTTTAAATCTCCCCTTTAACATATTTGTCCAATATGTCAGGAACCTGTTTTTGCTGTAATTCTTCCTAAACTGCATACTGTGGGAAATGTTATTACTGTAGATTCACTTCCAATAATAACTGTGATTACTGTATAATTCTTTACCTCTTTAACCCCTGTTACAGTGTAGGCGTGCCCTTGGACCAGTCCATTTGGCAAAACTGTGTTAGCAGATGTTTCCTACAACCAAAGAACATTATTTTTATTTTTTACAATGACCAAAGACTTCTGATACAATAATATCATTAGGAAAAAGTGACTGCAAAATTTTTCGTTATGTTGATTTAAAGCAAATTTCAACATTTTGCGACACACTTATTTGTCTTCATAAAGCTACTTCTGGCAGTCGATTAACAAAAAAGTTCAAATCAAATCAAATCACTTTTATTGTCACATCACATGTGCAGGTACATTGGTACAGCACATGTGAGTGAAATTCTTGTGTGCGAGCTTCACAAGCAACAGAGTTGTGCAAAATACAATAATGTAAACAAGCAAAATACAAGAATGGCTACATCTGAAACTAATAAATATATGTACAATATATAATAGTATATGCATTTCTGGATGTGTATACTAAATATTTTTCTACGTGTGTGTGTGTGTGTGTGTGTGTGTGTGTGTGTGTGTGTGTGTGTGTGTGTGTGTGTGTGTACACATATTTTACAAATTAAATAGAGTAAACAATAAATAAAAATATATAAAATAAAATATACAGAGTGAGACGTGCAAAACAGTGGCGTTACTGTACAGTATGGAGTGCATAATGTTAAAGTTCCAGTAGTGAAGCTGAGGTGTCTATGAAGTGTTCAGCAGTCTGATGGCCTGGTGGAAGAAGCTGTCTCTCAGTCTGCTGGTTCGGGACCGGATGCTGCAGAACCTCCTTCCTGATGGAAGTAGTCTGAACAGTTTATGGCTGGGGTGACTGGAGTCCTTGATGATCCTCCCCGCTTTCCTCAGGCACCGCTTCCTGTAGATGTCTTGGAGGGAGGGAAGCTCACCTCCAATTATCCGTTCGGAGCACCGCACTACTCGCTGGAGAGTCTAGCTATCAACTCAAATCACCCTCAATATAAGGATTCACGGATGCGGGTGACCAAAGTTACAAAAAAAATATTTCTTCTAAAATTAAAAAAAGGCTTTTGCCATGAAAATGATGGGTATAATCTATGTACATCATTCTCAGTTCATGTATGCATACAAAAAAAATCCACATCACAAGATGCTTGTGTTCAAGTATATTCACCATCTTCATCTCCATGATTTAGCATTCTCATCTTTCCATGAGAAGGCGGTGCTGTTGCCATACCAGGTGGTGATGCATCCAGTGAGGATGCTCTCAATGGCACAGTGATAGAAGGTCCTGAGGATGCGGGGGCTCATGCCGAATCTTTTCAGTCTCCTGAGAAAGAAGAGGCGCTGCTGCGCCTTCTTCACTGTTTTGTTTGTGTGTACTGACCATGTAAGATCCTCAGCCAGGTGTACGCCAAGGAACCGGAAGCTGCTCACTCTCTCCACAGCAGCGCCGCTGATGGTGATGGGGGTGTGTACTTCTCTGCACCTCCGGAAGTCCACTATCAACTCCTTTGTCTTTGCGACGTTGAGGGTGAGATGGTTGTAAGTAAGTAAGTAAGTAAAATTTATTTATATAGCACTTTTTAAGACAAAAACGCTGTTACAAAGTGCTTCACATAAAAACATGTCAAACGAACAATATTAGAAGAAATATAAAAGCATATCAAACAGGCAATAGTACAATATAAATATAAAATAAGACAACATATTACCCAAATGCCTGTCTAAACAGATGAGTTTTAAGCTGTTTTTTAAAAGAGGCCACCGTGTCGATGGTGCGTAGTGAGGAGGGTAAACCGTTCCACAGTATTGGAACCAGGGTTTGAAAAGCGTGATCCCCCTTTGTTTTCAGACGAGTCCGTGGAATAGATAGACGACCACTATCAGTGGATCTAAGAGTTCGCTTTGGAGAATAGGGTTTGAGAAGCTCCGAGATATAGATGGGGGCCTCACCTTGTAGAGACATAAACGTAAAGGTGAGGATTTTAAACTTATATCTATACCCAATCGGAAGCCAATGCAAGGATTTTAGTATAGGAGTGATATGGGAAAATTTATTGCTGTGGGTTAAAAGCCTTGCTGCAGCATTTTGAACCGCTTGGAGCCGATTTAGTGAGGCCTTAGATACACAGGAGAAAAGTGCATTACAATAGTCTAGCCGGGAGGAAATAAAGGTGTGGACAAGCATCTCCAGTTCGGTTGTGGAGACAATAGTCCTGAGTTTGGCAATATTTCTTAAGTGGAAAAAGCAGGAACGGGTCACGGATTTAATATGAACGTCAAAGGACAAAGATTGGTCAAAAATTATCCCAAGATTCCGAGCAGTGGCTTTTATCGTCGATGAAAAAGCACCCAGATGTTGACTAATTTGGGGCTTGATATTCTCTGGGGCAAGGATTAAGCACTCTGTCTTATCTGCGTTCAGTTGCAGGAAATTGTTTGTCATCCAAAGATTAATTTCCTTAAGACAGTCCATAAGAGTGGATAGCTTGTCTAATTCCCAAGATTTAAAAGAAATGTATAATTGGATGTCGTCTGCATACAAATGATAAGAAATATTTTTGAAACCGCTAATGATCCGGCCTAAGGGAAGAATATATAGTGAAAATAACAGGGGGCTTAAAACCGAACCTTGTGGAACTCCACATAGGAACTTCGCCACGTCTGATTGGAAGTTTCCCACTGAAACTAGAAGCGTCCTATCTTCCAGAAATGAGGTGAACCACTTTAGGACAGATCCAGATATCCCTACCATGCAATTTAAGCGATGGATTAAGATCTGATGGTCAACGGTATCAAAGGCTGAACTAAGGTCCAGAAGAACCAGGACTGAGCAATCACCCCTGTCTGCAGCCATCAAGAGGTCATTTGTGACTTTCAGCAGAGCTGTTTCTGTAGAGTGTAACTTTCTAAAACCCGATTGGAATTTATCAAGAATGTTATGCTTCTCCAGCGCTTTCTTTACTTGTAGCCAAACAACTTTTTCTAAGATTTTAGAGATAAAAGGAAGTTTTGAGATGGGCCTGTAGCTTGACTGAAGTGTTGGATCCAGGTTAGGCTTTTTCAGCAGAGGTTGAATAACCCCCTGTTTAAAGCACCTGGGGACAGAGCCAGATAGCAATGAATGGTTTATCAGCGTGACCACAGAGGGCCCGATGGTCTCAAAAACTTTACAAAATAGATGAGTAGGTAAGACATCAGCTAAACTCGTTGAAGGATTCAATTGAGTCAGTGTTTCCAATAAATCCTCTAAAGAAACTGGGAGGAAAGATTCCATAATTATGGAGTGTGGACGATCATAGTTGGTGGGGTTACCTGAGGGAGTTATGTTACCTCTTAGGCAACTAATCTTATCTTGAAAAAATTTTAAAAATTCATTACAGTCTTTATCTGAAAAGACAGGTATACATGGCGTTGGGGGGGAGACGATGCTACTCACTGTATCAAAGACAACTTTCGGATTTCTTTTTCCTACTGCAAGTAGTTGAGAGAAGTAAGTGGCTCTTGAGTCTGTCACCATGTCATTAAAGGTAGATAATAGTTCTTTTAAATGGAGCTTGTGAACCTCGAGTTTTGTGATTTTCCACAGGCGCTCGGTTTTTCGGCATATTCGCCTAAAGCTGCGGATAGCTTCTGTAAACCAGGGCGGGCATTTAACAGTACTGCCTTTCCTGATTTTAAGAGGAGCCACTTTATCTAGAATTTTTTGACATTGTGAATTGAAGGAGGCCATCTGCTGATCTATATCATCTGTTTCAGATAAATTGTTATCAAACAATTCCATAAATTCTTCTACCGCTGAGTCGTTAATTAATCGTGAACGCTTCTCATAAACAGAGGGTAGAGTGTCATAAGTAAAAGAAAGGTCAAATAAAAGGTATTTATGATCACTAATAAAAATGTCTCTGCAATGGACTGGGCCAATATCCAAACCCAGTGATAATATCAGGTCCAGGGTGTGGCCACCACTGTGTGTTGGCCCAGTCATATGTTGGACAAGGTTAAAAGAGTCTAAGAGAGTGAGAAAATCCGAAGCAGCGTGACATGAACTGTCATCAACATGAAGATTAAAATCCCCCAGCAGAAGAATTCGTTCCAGCTTAATGGTGGAGGATAGAAAATCCCCAAACTCCACTAAGAAACTCCTAGCTAGTCCCGGTGGCCTATAGATTAAAATCACATAGAAGGGGTGAGTCCTATTGATCTTCATCATCTGGATTTCAAAGGAGTTAAAGGAGGGGGTCTTTACCAGCCGACAGAAAAAGGAGTTTCTAGAAATAACTGCCAACCCACCACCACGTCCTGAGAGACGCGGTGTGGTTAAGCACTTACAGTCTGCTGGACACAGTTCATTAAAATGGACAAATTCCATATTCCGCTGCCAAGTTTCGGTTAGGAACATAAAGTCCAAATTATTCCTAATGAAAAGGTCGTTGAGAACAAATGCCTTATTTGAGATCGAGCGGCAGTTTAATAGAGCCATGTTAATCGGCGGTGCATGAGCATCACTGTTTACACCCTGAGGGGCTTGGTGCAGGTTCGCACTGCATACTCCTCGGGGCTTTTTACCGTTTAGTATAATCCGTGGGACAATAGGACGGTCACTCACATGGTCTGGGAAGACTGTTCTCAGACACGGCGTCCTGATGAAGCCCAAGTGGGGAAGCTGTGTATTTAGCTGGAGGTCCGCCTTAGCAAAAACATCCAATGTTGAGAGCTCCAAGCAGGACGTTAAATCAGCGGTACTCTTATATTTCCGTAATCTCACTTGGATGCCCGCTCTCCTTCCTCGTCTTCTCTGACGGTGATTTGTCCGGGAATGGCGGCTCCGGTTTTTCCCTGGCCCGGGCAAGCAAGGGACGTAATGGGCAACAGCTGATCGCCCGGAGGGTGGAGAGAAGCCTCGAAAATATTTCCAGGTTTCATCCATAGATTCCATAGTTGATTTAATCCGAAGTAAAGTGTGGCGATCGTAAACATAGGTAGCTGTAATCTTATCCACAGACAGCAGCAAAATCGGTAATGCAACATAAAACAGGAGAACACAGAGTTTGACAGCGGCATTGCCGATCACAGGCGCCATCTTGTCAAAAGAGTAGCATGATCAGGGCGCTGACCTCCTCCCTGTAAGCTGTCTCATCACTGTTGGTGATAAGACCCACCACTGTAGTGTCGTCCGCAAACTTCACAATGATGTTGGAGTTGTTAGTGGCCGTGCAGTCGTAGGTGTAGAGTGAGTACAGGAGAGGGCTCAGTACACACCCCTGTGGAGCACCAGTGTTCAGTGTGACGGGGGATGAGGTGATGCTGCCCAGTCTGACCACTTGGCGTCTGTCAGACAGGAAGCTAAGGATCCAGCTGCAGAGGGAGCTGCTCAGTCCTAGATCCTGCAGTTTCCTATCCAGCTTCGAGGGAACGATGGTATTGAATGCTGAGCTGTAATCTACAAACAGCATTCTCACATACGTGTCTCTCTTCTCCAGGTGTGACAGGGCAGTATGTAGTGTCAGGGCTATGGCATCATCAGTGGACCTGTTGTGGCGGTATGCGAACTGTAGAGGGTCCAGTGAGTCGGGTAGTGCAGAGCAGATGAAGTCCCTGACCAGCTTCTCGAAGCATTTGCTTACGATGGGGGTCAGGGCTACAGGTCGCCAGTCGTTCAATGAGGAGATGGTGGAGGATTTGGGTACAGGGACGATGGTGGCCATTTTGAAGCAGGCTGGGACTACAGACAGAGAGAGGGAAAGGTTGAAGATGTGCGTGAACACTCCAGCCAGCTGAGCCGCGCATGACTTGAGGACGCGGCCGGGAATCCCGTCCGGACCAGTAGCTTTGCGTGCGTTCACCTTCCTGAAGCACCTCCGCACATCCTCCTCAGACACAGTGTGCGCACTGACGTCATCCACGGTGCGCACACTGTCCGGTCTCATGGTGTTCGCTGTGTCGAATCTAGTGTAGAATACGTTTAGATCCTCACACAGAGAGGCCGTGGTCTGCAGTGTGCTGGTTTTCCCTCTAAAGTCTGTGATCGTGTTTAGTCCCTGCCACATACTCCGAGGGTTGTCAAACTGTTGCTCCACCCTGTCCCTGTACTCACGTTTGGCTGCTTTGATCGTCTTCCGGAGTTGGTAATGTGCGTGTTTGTAGTCCGATGTACTCTGAAAGTTTTGCAACTTTCAGAGTCAAATAGGTCAAAACTGTCTTCTAGTTCCAGAATCTACATTCCCAATTAAGCACATCCCAAAGTGCATGCTAACTTGGGTTGCATTTTTGCAGTATTGGTTGATTACTCCATAACTGTAACTTATCATTACATCATTGCTTTAGTTTTATATTTTTCGTGGAATATGTTACCAGTTTTATCAGTTGATAATGAAGTGCAGTCTGAGTGGAAAACACTCAACACATTTTAAATCTCACCATCTCTCATCCGCAAAACAAAATCATGATGTGGGAGACCAGGAAGTATTGGCTATCAAGCTCACTTCGGAGGAATGGAGGCACTGGCTGGAGAGCATGGCTCAACCATTTATTGTTTGGACAGACCACAAAAATCTGGCATATCTGCAATCAGCTAAACATCTAAATACTTGACAGAGACGCCCGTGAATATGTTATAGCCTGTTCAACCTGCGCTTGGAATAAGCACTGGAACCAACCACCTGCTGGTCGATTACAACCACTGCCTACTGCTCTCCAATGTGTTGCAACATCCAATCAATCTATCTGAAGCTAGCAGCTACCTTGGGTGGAGTACACAATAGCCTGACATCTCGGTGTGGTGGGGCATTGTCTGCTGGGCTGTGCGGACGCACCTGCAGGGCATCCGCAATCACGCCCGACGTGTTAAAACATGGCGACTCAAGGGTTGGTTTGTGTTGTGGCGAGAAGTGCTGAATAAAGATGGCTAAAATTCAAGATCTGTGGTCCCACCGTGCCTTATTCTCACCACACTGGTGCCGAAACCCAGGACGCGGCACAACAGAGCCAGGGCAGGGAGGGGCTGTCCCAGATGATGGCTGACTTGGCGGCTATCCAGCAGGAGCAGGTGGCAGAGGTACGCGTTAGGCACCTTAGCAGCCGGAGGTGGTAGACGAGGCAGGCAATAGTCCGCGCCGGCCGGAGGAGAGTAAGCGGCTGGGTGAAGGGCTGCTACTGCCAGGAGCAGTGGAGGAGCTGCTCCAGCCGAATGCGGCAGACAAGGCACGCGAGGTGTCTACACCTACTGGAGGTAGAGGAGCCACTGCGGGAAGGGCTGCTCCAGCCGGGAGTGGTGGAGGAGGCCCTCAAGCCGGAGGTGTACGAGGTGCGAGGGGGTCCATGCCTGCTGGGTGAGGAGCCGCTGCATGAGGGGTTGCTCCAGCCGGGAGTGGTAGAGGAGCCGCTGCAGCCAGAGAGGAATCAGGTGCACGAGGGTCCTGTCCAGCCGGGAGCAGTGGAGCAGCTGCTCCAGCCGGAGACAATGGAGGAGCCACGCAGGGAGACAGAGGTCCCCGTGTAAGGGGGACCTGCACGAACTGGGGCCAAGAGCAAGACGCAAGCTGTCCTGGAACAATGGACGAGTGTCCAACCGCCTTTGAGCAGGTGCTCACGGCTGTGCCTGCAGGGTCGTGCCGGTTCGCCAGGTATTCAACTGCCGGACCAGTGTCGCTGCTGGAGGCGTGGGCAGCCTCCGCAAGAGACACTGCCCTGTCATCAGGTTGGAGGCCGGTGGGCGGGAGTAGGTTCGGCCAGATGGCTCCCCGGCCTCAATCGGGCGATGGGTTGTATGTGGTGGGGTATGTGGTGGGGTGTGGTCTGCGGTGCCGTGCGGACGCACCTGCAGGACATCCGCAATCACGCCCGCCGTGTTAAAACACAGGACTCAGGGGTTGATGTGTGTTGAGGTGAGAAGTGCTGAATAAAGATGGCTCAAATTCAAGATGGTCCCGCTGTGCCTCATTCTCGCCACACTCGGCTACTGCTCTGACTCTGTTTATTTGTGCTTACCCCTTGAGGTGTACCACAGCTCATCAATGTGTTGGATTTGCCAGCTCTGCATATCAGCCCCCACACGTCTGAACTGGCGTCCGACAGCTGGACGCACATGTGGACGCCACCGGTGAAATCCATCACAGCCTCTGAAGGAGTTCCAGAAGTCATGTCGGTGTAGGAACCACAAACCCTGACAGAGGTAGATAATATTTTTCACAGATCCCCCACATGTAACTTGTTCACTGTATATCGGATAAATCATATGTTTCTTTGCATACTTGGCATAAGCTTTCTCCAGCAGAGCAGGCCAGAACTCATTTGGATCTTTGGAGTGAACAAAGATTAGTCTGCCATTGATCGTCGGCAACTTGTCATCAATGACGACGTCCACCCACCGCCCGAATCTCCAGAACTAAAGTAAAGATACAATTGTTTTGTGAGCTTGTTGTGTTTCATGAAATTTGATCATTAGAGACAAAATAATCCAAACTCTGAAATAAACAGCTTTTAAGTTTTAGTTTAGTGGAGAAAAACAGTTAAAGATAATAATTACTTCTCTATACTGATAGTTTAATGATGTTTACCCTGAAGTGAAAAATGCCACAGTAGTTCTCTTTGATTTTTTGGTCGAGCGGAACAACTTGTTCAAAAATGTGATTCTGGAAAGTCAGTGCGCCGATTGATGCAAGAAACCAGCAGTTTCCTGTTTAACAACAACAAAAAAAGAACAATCAGGACTGTAGGCAGATACAAGAGTGTAAATATTAGGAGTGAAGAAATGACCCTACCAAGTACACCTTGACCAAAGTCAAATCTGGAGACGCCATCAACCACAAATTCAGCATCAGGAGCAATTTGCTGTAAAACAGGGAGTATGCCCCAAATTTGAGAGGTTTGGGTCTCAGTTTGAAATATGAAACTCTTCCAGGGCCCTTAATTCACAACTTTTTTATATAACAGAAAATGAAATAAACTGAATAATTATCCTGAAAAGAATCTCATGATCAAAAGTCAGTCAGAAAAAGAAAGAATAATCATAATTTTGTAAACTTGTGGCTTTGATTCTTTTCAGAATGTGAATATTTCATGTTATTTTTAAACTAGATTACAAACTAACTAATCAGGTTGTTTAGGATAACAGAATGCATTTTTAATAGAATATCTTTTATTTAATCCTTAAGGATTGATTTAATTCTTTTTCATAGCCACTAGAGGGCACTGTTATAGTCAAAATTTCACTTCGTGAGTCATGAGAAGATTTATAGTTTCACAATCTCAAATATGGTAGGGCAAAGGTGGAAAAAAATGTTGCTTTGCAGTAATGTGATACTGCGTCTAATGTGCAGTTTAAACATCTTTAAATACTCACCGCAGGTCTTAGCCACTTCACGTGGGCCAGGTCGGAGGGCATCAGTATCCCCTGGCCAACAGACTTTGCATCAGGGGGGAACATGTCATCGAGGTACCTTACTCCTTTGGTTAGACAGTACTGTTTCAGGTTCTTGAAGTCTTGGTTAAAGAACTTCTCAGGGTTGGAGATGCTCCCATATCCCATCTGCTTGTGACGAGCCTCCATAATGTTCAGGCATGCACCAGGAGGAGGCATTGCTGCAGTGTTTGTCTCTGTTTTCAAGAAGTTGGCATGTAAATTTGACAGATTAGTATAATAAATGACACAGTACAAAAAAAACATGTCAGCTCAAATTATAATATATTAATATATATAAATAATGCAAACATTGTTTAGGTTATTTTCTTTCAAAAGAAAAAGAAAATAACTGCAACAAAAAAAGTATCAATGAAATGCCCATATAGTAAGAATATTTAAGAACTATTACTATGAAACTAATAAAAACAAAACAAAACCTAACACTAAAAATAAACAGAAAAAGAAAAACTATAATAACTTTGATTTGAGTCATTAGTCCTTAAATTGTTAAACAAACATTTTACCTGAACGAGTCACGAAAGAGGAAGCATGTTGTTTAGTAGATACGGAGCAGGTCTGCAGGTAAGAGTGGACAGGCTTCAGTCTTATATAATGCCCACAATCCCCTAAATCAGCCAGGAAAGGTTGTGGCTCCTCCTTACCTTACTATGGAAATTTCACTTAAACTCCACCACTTTCCTTGGAATTACCCTTGAACCTGCAGGATTAGTTTTATAGGTGTTTACACACAAGTGTTACGTTTGTAGTCCAAGCGAGTGAAAAAACGCAACACGAGGGTTAGCCCCCCCCACTCCCCACCCAAGTAAGTACACCGACAACAATACCGTTCAAGTGGTAAGCAGCCGTTTATTTTCGTCGGCAGTGAGCAATGCCAAAACAACAAACAAAACTCCCTAGCGATCCCTACGCTTCCCTACACCAAATAAAAAAGAAGCCAAACAAAAGACAAGTCGCTTACCTACCTTTCTAAGGGAAAAAACAGGAGAAAACGTGTTAAAAAAAAAAACGGCTTCTCACGCCTACAAGGCTGCGGCAGTGACAGTGATATATCAGGTGAACCAACCCGTGATCACTATTTGACAATCTATTTACAATTATTTAAAATATAATAGCCATCCCACCCAGATATACTATTTACACTATTTACAACCAAGTAGACATCCCAACCAGATATACACTCAAAACTCTACACTGCACTAACATAGATCATCACACAGGTTCTTGGTCGAGTGGTGGAGGCTCGGGGAGAGCTTCCAGGTGGCTGTCGTTAAGTCCTTAAGTACCGGAGGTGGTCCATCAATTATCCACACAGGATCCACACAGGACAGGCAGAGACTCCACCCGGATACCCAGCAGCCACGCCCAGGTTTCCACCTCCTAGGAGAGAAAAAGGGGAAAGATACCCACAGCCATCCCCCCCGTGGGAGGCATAACACAACACACACATCACTGGGTCGTAACAGTTCTCCCCCCCAAAAAAATAAAACATCCATCCCTACACAAAGATGTTTGATTCAAGACCGAGAGAGGGCATCAGCCATAACATTCTCTAAGCCCTTTTTGTAACGGATCTCAATGTTGAAGTCCTGTAAGAGTAAGGACCAGCGCATAAGGCGCTGGTTGCTATTCTGCATCCGAGACAGGAACTGGAGAGGGTTGTGGTCCGAGAATACGATGGTTGGAACAGGACTGGATCCAAGGTACACCTCAAAGTGCTGCAAGGCTAATAACAAGGCTAAGGCTTCCTTCTCGATCGTGCTGTAATGTAGTTGGTATTTTAGAAATTTCTTGGAAAAATAACAGACCGGATGGTCGATGCCATTTACATCCTCCTGCAAGAGCACCGCCCCAGCCCCCAAGGCACTCGCATCCACCTCAAGCTTGAATGGACGTGCGAAATCAGGGGCGGCCAACACAGGAGCACTGCAAAGGAGAGCTTTGACAGCTTCAAAAGCAAACTGACATGTCTCCGACCATGTGAATGGTGATTTTGGACTGGCAAGACTGGTCAACGGGGCTACTACCTTAGAGAAGTTCTTGCAGAAACCACGATAATAACCTGCCATGCCTAGAAACCGACGGGTCTGCGGAGCGGGAAAGTCCAGTATTGCCTGCACTTTCACCGCAACCGGGAGAACCTGACCCTGTCCGACTCGTTTCCCCAGGTAGGTTACCGCAGCCTTTCCAAACTCGCACTTAGCCAAATTTAGTGTCAGAGAGGCATCACGCAGGCGGTCAAATATTTCACTAAGGGTTTTGAGGTGTTCAGGCCAAGTGGAGGAATAGGCAACTATGTCATCCAGATACACTTCACAGTTTCTAACTCCATGCAGCACCGTGTTCATCAGCCGCTGGAAGGTAGCTGGGGCATTCCGTAGCCCAAACGGCATGACAGTATACTGTAAAAAATGGTCAGGCGTAACAAAAGCACTGATTTCGGAAGCCCGGTCAGTTAACGGAACCTGCCAGTATCCTTTTAGGAGGTCAAGCTTGGTCACAAAGGTGGCTGGCCCAACACGGTCGACTAAGTCATCCATGCGGGGGAGTGGGAAGGAGTCTGGTTTCGTAACAGCGTTTACTTTTCGGAAGTCGTTACAGAACCGGGAGGTTTGATCGGGTTTTGGGACCAGAAGTGATGGTGAGCGACAAGAGCTATTACTGGGAATCGCAAAACCATGGTCGAGGAGATACTGGGCTTCCTGCTGCATTACAACACGCTTCGTGGGATTTACTCGGTATGCATTTTGCTTGATGGGTCCGTGATCGCCCACATCAATATCGTGGCTTAGCACATGAGTTTGAGTGGGGATATCACCGAACAGAGTCGGGTAGTTTGTAATGAGCTCACGGACATCAGATTTTTCGGGATCAGACAGATGAGCCAAACAGGCATCCAAGTCAGCCAAGATTTCAGAGTTTTTAAGACGCACCCCCGAAACAGAGCGGTGCCTATCGTCCAACCCATCATCACAGGGTTGAGAGACGGACACCGACACGATAGGTAACACAGACGGTGACCGGCGTTCGCGATCAATGTATTCCTTCAACATATTGATGTGACAGACGCGACTTTTCTTCTTACGATCAGGGGTTAACACCACGTAGACAGTTTCACTCAATTTGCGCTCAATGCCATAGGGGCCGGAAAACCTTGCCTGCAGGGGTGAACCAACGACAGGCAGGAGAACCAACACGCGATCCCCAGACTGGAACCTCCGCACTACCGACTTTCTATCAAAACGGGTTTTCATTCTGACCTGAGCCTTTTCTAGCGCGCCACGAGCAGTGTTGCAGGCATCATGCAGCCTCTCTTTAAATGAGCTAACATAGTCCAGAATGTTTTCTTCCGGATGATGTTTCTCTGAGAGAAATCTCTCTCTCAAAAGACGTAACGGGCCGCGCACCGTGTGGCCAAAAACTAACTCAGCAGGACTGAACCCCAAAGACTCCTGGCACGTCTCCCTGACGGCGAACAATAGCAGGGGCAACCCCTCATCCCACTCACGGCCAGACTCAGTGCAATGTTTGCGAAGCATGCTTTTCAGAGTTTGGTGGAACCTTTCCAATGCACCCTGACTCTCCGGGTGATATGCGCTGGAAGTGTGATGGGTGACACCGAGCTCGGTCATAACCTGGGCAAAAACTCTGGACATAAAGTTTGTGCCTTGATCCATCTGGATACGTTTAGGCAGTCCAAAGATAGAAAAGAACTTAACTAGGGCCTTCACAATCCCACGGGTTTTTAACGAGCGCAATGGGATAGCCTCAGGATAACGGGTGGCAATACACATCATGGTGAGTAGATATTGATTTCCGGACTTTGTTTTTGGAAGGGGACCAACACAATCAATGATAACATGTTCAAAAGGTTCCCCAACCACGGGGATGGGCTTTAACGGCGCAGTTGGAATCACCTGATTTGGTTTACCGGCAAGCTGACATGTGTGGCACGAGCGGCAAAATTTCACCACATCAGATTTAAGACCAGGGGCCTGTTCTTCGTACCGCGCTAAGTGAGTTAGCTGGATGAGATTGTTGACGATTTCGCGTGATCCTGGATCGTTCGGTTCCCCGAAGCCAGAGGTCAGCCACAGCCATCCCCCCCGTGGGAGGCATAACACAACACACACATCACTGGGTCGTAACACAAGTCATGTTAGTCCCTTTCACTTCTGAATGTACAGGTGCAATGTTCTGTATACAGCTTTCTGTTTTTTATTAAAACATCACATGAATGAAAATAATCAGAAGGCAGAGCCAAACATTTTCAGCTCTCATGACCGTTACAGTGAGTGAATAATCCTTGATACTGAAAAGCAAGCAAGAGGAAAGAATAACCCAAAAGTTTTCTTGACTTCAGTGCAAATATGTAACTCTGTTGTTGTATGTTGTCTGCTAAATATAAAATGTTTTAGATATTTGAACAACCTTGAGTAAGTCTGATTACACTTACAGGACTGCCATGGTACCGGTAGTTGGCATTTATTTTGATAATGATAAGTAAAATATTTACTCACATAAAAACTGACTTCATCGGTTAACTGAAAAGGTAATTTGCTTGTGTACATGTGCAGTAAAAGATAGTGATGTTACTTGCTTAACAAAGCTTTACTACCATATTTTTTGCACTATAAAGCCCACTTCAAGTCCTTTAATCTTCTCAAAAATCAGTAATTGGGTTGATGCATTCTCAATCATCCAGAAAAGTAAATCTCCAAAAGTTGATTCTGTTCATCTGGACGTAGCGTTTTGTGGGAGAAACGTTTCGTCACTCATCCAAGTGACTTCTTCAGTCTTAGCTGACTGCAGGAGCAATTGAAGGAACAATGAAGGAACATTGAAAAATCAGTAATGCACCTGTATGAATTCAGGTTGTGCTTGCTGACCTCGAATCGATTTTATGTGGTATACGCGTTGCTGCTTTACCAGGTAACAATTAAGTTTAACATCCAGGCATCCATGAAAACCGAATGCATTAAATTTAATGCAGTTAAAACTTAGCGGGAAGTTAGCTCGCTAGTTTCCACCTACAAGACATCATAAACCACAGAGGCTGCGCTGTGTGCAGCTGGCAGAGGAAATAAACTGTCATGGTTCTGGGTCAATTTTGACCCAGCTTTTTCTTTTTCTGTTTTGTTTTGCTAAATATATGAATT